TTTTTCATTACTGGTTTTTTACTAGATTCATCACTATCAAGTTTCCCACTCTTAACTGTTATTTCAATCATCTCACCAGTTGTGATTATTTCAGCAAAGTTCTTAAAGAAATTCCCTATGAGGTGAGTAAATAAAGGAGCTTTTAAAGTGTTTACAAAAAGTACATTTGTCTCCTCTTCTTCCCTGGGCCGATGTACTTGTACAACTATGTCCCTCCATCTCTGCGCATATAGTCTGAAATTCTCGTTGGATTTCTTTTCAATGTTCTGCAGCACCAGTCGATTGGGCCTTATATCTTTTACATGCTTATATTGTTCAAGAAAAGATTTTGCCAAATCTTTCCAAGATTTAATATGATCTTTACTCAATTGGTTGTACTATCTCATGGCCGAACCTGTTAAGCTTTCTTGGAAACAGTGGATCAATAATTTGTCATTCCCTATATAACCTGTCATTTTTCTGCAAAACATTGTGATATGAACATAGGGGCATTTCGTGCCATCGAATTTTTCAAAATCAGACATCCTGAATTTATGTGGTAACACCAAATCAGTCACCAAACTCAATTCTTTAGCTTCAATTCCATACATGCTAGGGCCCTCCTTCATAGTCCTAACTTCCTATTCTAGTTGTTCCCATTTTTTATCATTTTGTTTATTTGACTATTTCTTGCATTCTTGATCAAAATTCGGAATATCTTCATGTTATTGTTGGTTTGTAGAGGCACTAGGTAAATTTATGTTTACTCTTCCTGACTGAGTAATCATTCCTTGATGGGCTTTAACATGAGGTGGTGTAAAACCTGGGGGATACAGAGGTTCTTCAATAACACCAATAACTGGAGCTTTTTCACGATTTTCTTGCGGTGTAAAACCTGGAGGGTACAGAGGTTCTTCAGTGGTAATACCGACAACTGGAGTATTTTCTCATTCCATGCTTCTTCCTTGTAACATGCTTGTAATTTTTTCAATCAGATCATTTTGGGATTTCAGCATTTGTTCATGCATTTCTTCCTGGACTTTCTTGAAGCTTTCTTGCATTTCAAGTTGAGTCCTTTCAAGTTGATATATCTTATCATCCATTACTTTTTTTCGAGTATGATATGGATGCTTATAGGGGTCTAGTATTATTCAAAAAAACAAAAAAAAAAACCTTTTAATAAATATGAATGTTTTATTAATGAATATGATAAATATGACTAAAATGTAATGTAAAAAATCATATGCATATGTAAGATGCAAAATGCAAGGTGTTGATATTGGAATGAATCCTTAGAACAACTTTTATAGTAAAACGAAGTTTTAAATATATTACAGATACATCTGCATTGTTTTCTACTTCATGTAGGACTCTTCGTTCCATATTTCTAGCCTTCTATATGAACATCAATCATGAATCAACATCATGGTATGAAAAATGTAATGCATAATGAAAATGATTTAAAAAAACAAACAAAGTAATAATGCATAAATTAAAAGACTCAACATGATTTTCCTTGTGTGCTAACCTTATAAGAATCTCTTTGGGTTAGACTTTGCCTAAACTCAAGTTCTAGGTTTATTATATGTTGGGTTTGGATTTAAGGTAAAAGGGTAATCAAATTGTCCTTTGTTGGTGCCCCCTTGGGCTATCAAACCCTCAATCCTGGTCCATCACAGACTTTCAAATTGAGTTTAATTTGAAGGAACACACTTCCTTATGTCCATACGGAGGTGAAAACCACACGAGGAAAATAAGGTGTGAGCTCAAAGAATGGTCCACTATCCCATACGAAGGTGAAAACCACACGAGAGAGTAGTTTCTCATTCAAACTAAATAGGATAAGAGCGGGGATTTGGCTCATGTCATGAATGCAGTGCACAGTGCATGAGGAAAAGCAGAAAACACACAAATTTATTCTTTAAATCTAAATAAACAAATAATGTACAAGACACAAATTTATTTTTTTAAAATCTAAAAACATTAACAAACAAGTTAGTTGGACTATTTAATTGTTAATTAATTCACAAAAAAATGGTTATTAAAATAATCAAGGAAAAAATAAATTAAAACAAATTTATAATTTTACTGCAAAGACAATTAATTAATAAACCGGTGGCTTGACTCTCTAAAAAAAATAGTCCTCAGTGGAGTCGCCAAGCTGTCGAGATGGTTTTCCGCCCGGTGAAAACAAGTGTCGTTGCTTTCTAAATCTCATCTCGAAAAGATAATTGTTTTTCTTCTGGTATAAGATAAAACACAATTTGTGGAGCCGCCACCAATCATTTTATCGAGGTGTGATTGGTCACTAAAAATGGTATGTTATTTTAATAAAATTTATAAAAATAATATTAAAATAACACAAAAAGGGTATGTTTACCAGAAAATGAGTTCGGGAGTCGGTTACGTGTGAGGAAAGATTAGCACCCCACAACGCCCAAAATTGGTACCTTTGTTTATTAATTAATGTCTTTGCAATAAATTAACAAATTTGTATTTAATTTCAATTTATGATCTCATAAAAATAATAATATAACCCAATTACATATAATAATTTTAATGATTTAATCAAAAAAATATAAAAATTAAGGTTACTATTATAACTACTTAATATGCAAAGTACTATAGTTGTAAATAATCCTCTAATAATATGAATATATTAAAAATATAAAAATTAAGAGAATAAAATACATATTTCAAGAAAACAAATAAAAAAATGAATCATTATAATTAATTAAAATAAAAAAAACGTGGGTTTATTAAAATATTTGTGGACACAACTTAGTGGAATGTATTTTAAAATTGAACACCATAATTATAGTGCTCTACTTTCTAATTTTTATTATTACTTTTAATAATGATATTATTTTATGTCATTATATTATTTTATTTTAAGCACTAATATATATTATTAGGATACACATTTATGACTAAAATAAAAAATAATAAATAAGTACTAGATTTAAAATATTTAAACATAAAAGGTAATAATAAAATAAAAATTGCAATTAAATAATAACCAAAATAATAATATGGGATTAAATTAAAAAATATATAAATTATTTGTCAATATTCGAAATATTATAAAATATATATATTAAAAGTGTAAATAATCCTAAAATATTATTTAAATATATGTAAATATACGGTAGTGACTAAAATAAAAATAAATAAAATGCGAAGACAAAATTAAAAGATATAGAAACCTGATTTTGGTGACTATAATGGAAGATTATAGAATACATGGACCACGGACGGGGTTAAACCAATTTTGAAATTACACAGACACTCTCTCCCCAAAACGACGTAGTTTTGATAAATGTATAAATAAATCAATATAAGCCTAAAATTATTAATTCTTCTCATTTGTAATTTTTTGCTCTCTCTCTAAAGGGAGAGAAGCTCTCCATTCTCTCTAAATTCCCTCACCGGAGGAAGCTCCGTTCACCGGCCAGTCACTATTCTGACCACCGACCGGTCACTATTCATGCCGCAGGTCACTATTCTGATTACTATTCACGATCGAAAAAAATAAAAATAGCTCAAATCGTAGATCGGCTCACCCTAAACCTGAAACCACCCTCTTTTTTCCTAAAAAACTTCAAAACGACCTAGATCTAAGATTTTACCTTCGATAAAACAACTTTTCCGACGATGTTTGGGCTTCGACGAAGGTAATATCTCATTTCTTTTCTTTTCCTTTTGGTTTGTTTTTTGCTTGTTGGTGTTGTTTGCTCTCTTCCCGTTGTCGTTGTTTTCTTTTTTTTTCTTTGTAGGATCGACTTTTTATAGGCCTTGGAAGGCTTCAGATAACCGTTCATTTTAGTGAGTCACCGGATCTACTATGGTGACTCACCATAGGGCGAGGTGTGCGGCTCTCCTGCGACTTCTGGAGTCTTCTGGTGGAGGCGGCGGCGTCGTGGCAGTCACCGGTTGGGGCACCTGGAGGCGGCGCCGGAATAGTCCCTAGGGTTCACCCTATGATTCTTGTTAGATTGGATATGGTCCTCTGGTTTTGTAAATGGGCTCCCAATTTTTTTTGTAATAATAATAATAATAATATGATAGTCTAGGACGAAAATGATTGTCGACAAATTTATATGTAAATTGTAACTACAAGTTTAAGCTTTAGCTGTATCCAGTTCCAATTTCATCCACATGGTACCACATCAAGAACAACAAGAAGGAATCATATAAATAAGGGAAAACGTTTTCATTTATTTTCAAGATCTTGTCATTATTCATCCATTAAATTTTAACCTAATTGATATTATTATTCTTATGATATAAGATATTAAGGTTCAAATATGTTTAAATAATTTCTAATATAGAAATTTTGAAGGTATACATATTTTAGATGTTGCATACAAAATTAAATATTAAATTCATGTTCATACAATAAATCATAATAATTTTTTTTTGTTTAAGGGTGTGAAAAGCCTTAATTTTTTTGAAAATCAATTGGGCCATTGATTTTCTTTTTTCTTTCTTTTTTACACTCAATTAAATCTTTATACTTTGAAACATAATCAATTTATTCATTTAAAAAAATGTTAATAATTAAAATATTTATGAATTTATCAATGCATGTCATGATATTTTTATATGATATTTTCTTTTAATAAATTTTTTAAAGAAAATTATAAATACCACTCAAAATAACTACAATTAATATGTCATGGGAATATAATATAACAACAATAAAGAGAAATTAGTTACAATAGGTGAACTAGATATTATGCTAAGATATTAATAGTTTATTAGGATTCAATACATATAGCATATATTATGTAGTACATATTTAATTTACACTTCTTGATACTTCCTAGTAATTTTAAGACTAGGGTGTGTTATCTTTTTCCTTATCGTGAAAAGTTTAGAAATCGGATTTATATTTAATGCATAAATGATATATTATAATTTTATATTTTATTAGTAAATCAGATTATATATTTTGTTTTATTATGTATCATCTGATTCAATAATTACGTATAAAATTATATATATATATTAGTGCATTCGATATAAATCCTTTAAAAACTCTAAACAAAGAACCCTAATCAAACCATGATTTTCGTTATCAAAACAACCCATCATCCAACAGCCATTTCTCTATCAAAGTTAGAGGCACTTGATCCCCCAAATCGGGCTTGCTTTCATCTTGGAAAACGACGCCGTTTTCAGGCGTCATCAAGCTGGCGTTCTGCAGCTCCACCGATACAGATTCACGAGAAACATCATCTGAAGATTTGCAGGACCCGTTATTGAAGCTGAAGAAAGAATCGAAACCTTGATGAGTGGGCGTCGTTTCGGCGCTGAATGCTCCTTCGTCGCTAGAGCTGAACGAACCCTGAGTAACCGTCTCAGCCGAGTTCGTTCGATGATCAGCACCGGTGACTGGTTCCGGTGAGGTTTTCATCCAGTTCTCGAGCAACCGAGAAATGTTCTCGGCACTCGACGCATACGTATTTTCCTGAGACGGCTTCAAGTCCTTTGAATCCGTCGAAAAGCTCGGTTTATCGAGCGACAATGCGTCGGACAGCGCCTGTTTAGCCATCCGGATATCCGTTTGAAGGCGTCTCTCCCACTGTCCCTTGGTGACCGATTGGAACGAAGAAGAAACTCCATCTTGCTTTTGACCCTTTTTAAGCTTCTTCTTCAAGTGAGTGTTCCAATAATTTTTTATATCATTATCCGTTCTTTGAGGAAGATAAGAAGCTATGGCAGCCCATCTGCAAAACCCGAAAAAAAAAACCCAGCAACTTCAACAACAGATCTTCATGGATTTAAATTCCGATGACATTTATATCTACCATCTTACCTGTTGCCTAGAAGAGCTTGGAGATGGATAATCATCTTCTCTTCCTGCTCAGTGAAGTTACCACGTTTGATTCCTGGCCTCAGATAATTAGTCCATCTAAGCCTACAACTCTTGCTGCATCTAAGCAAGCCTGAGAAGAAAAAAAACAAACAAACATTAATGGTGGGGAAGTAAAACATGCCTTGATATTTATTGCACTCTTAAATGAACACAACTAACCCCAAACCAAAAGTGGAAAAAGATAAGCATCCTCATTCACGATCGAACCCTAGACCAGATGTTACCTGTATTAGTAGGAACCGATCTCCAGTTTCCTGTACCATGTTCTTGGATATAAGAGACGAGTATGATATCTTCTTCCGGGGTCCATGGACCCTTCTTCACACCGATTTTGTCACAGCAAGGAGGTCTACCCATCTTTTCACTTTGTTTGTTTTTTTTTCTTTTCCCTGATGTTCAAAGTTGGTGATGGTGAAGAAAAATATGAAGATTTGATTTTAGGGTTTTTTGTTTTGTGTGTGTGAAAACAGAAGAAGAGTTATAGGATTCGGTATTGAATTTTTCTATGGAGCTATGAGATTGAGCTACGTATGACTAGAGTCTTGAAAGCCCAATTTTTTTTCTCTTGTGATTAGCCTCCGAAGGGAAAGGGTTTGGGTTTGCCTATATATATAGAGAAGAAAAAGCACCCCCCCCCGGTCCCCCGCGGGGGAAAAGGGGTGTTTAAGGGTGACCTGACCTTAGTTGATGAGGTAAACGGAGGATATGCAGAGTCAAAAGTCAAAACAGATAGCAAGCAACATTTACTCATTGTTTGCCAAAAACCATATACGTTCAGAATCATTTTTTAATATACACCCCATAAATATAGCTACTCAAACTTTATACTTCTTGAAATAACAATATTTTCTTTATTATGGAGATTATTTAATGAGTTCGAGTTAAATCCAACTTTTGATGAAAAGCTAAGTAATTGTTTTCTTCATTTATAACATTTGAAATCAGTCAATAAAATTATGGTTAAAGTAATAAAGAAAATTTCAATCCATAAAATTAAAATTTTATTAAGAGATATTTAACTTTTTATTACTCGATTCAATTAAAAAAAAGCTGTCTCTTTTACCCTCGAACAGTGTGGCATTCATTGTTGGGGGCACTTGAAGAGTTGGAGGTGTAGCACCGAAAAGAAACCCTGATTTTTAACTCGCTCGTTATTTATTTATCCTCTTTAAAGGCTTGTTTCATGAATTAGTAAATGTGGACTTCTCTAGGGCAAGTTAATGTTTTACCCGTTTGCATGCAAAAGAAACCTTCATTTTTCATGGAAAAATACAAATGAAAACACAATTGACTTTTCTTTAAAAAAAACCCTTAAATTAATTTAATTTAATTAGACTTCTTATCTTGCATGTGAATCCATTAAGGTTTACTTTTAAAAGATATAATTTAATTCTTTTATAAAATAGGTAAATATAAGGAAAGAGTTAGAAAATGAATTAAATAACTAGAAATTCATTTTCAACACCAATATAATAATATAACATTACAATACATCAACAATTGACTTTATCACAACTCAAAAACAACATATTTTTGGTAATTATAAGTATATATTAAGATAGGAGAATCAATTCGAATATCAAATAACTAAGACAATAATTAATAATATTAAAAAAATATTGTCTTCACAAATTAATAGTTTTTAACGGACACTTAAATAATCTTCTAACAAGATAGTGATTGACAGTTAATAACCTAATTTCAAATCAAAGAAATGAAGCAATGAAGAATGCATGCCCTACTCATTTATCACATGAGACAAGAGAGGTATAAAGGAAGAGTAAGATTTCAGTTTTCCAAGTTCCAATAGGCAATAGCTTATTATAATGACTGCAATTTATTTATTTATTTGCTTTTGAAAGAGTCAGGCCCATTACTATACCAATAATGAAAATATGAAGAAAAAAAGTCAGGTTCGATGAATTAGTAATAAAGGAATACAAGTGATATATTATATTACGAGGATGGCCTACTTGTATAAATGTAAAATTAAAATTAAATGATTTCAATGTTTCGAAAAAGGTTATTTTGTAAGTATGAAACATAATATGTAACGTATTTTTTACGTGATTTAGATATTTATGGACTCAGTTTTTTCTTGTGAATAGATCGATTGTCTCTTAACTTTTCAATGTATCTTGGAACGTGTTAATCTAATGTCGTGAGTTTAAGTTATATATATATATATTTTGGTTAAGATTGATCGAGCAGAAATTTTATAGAATTTAATATGATAATTTGTTATTTGATTATGATTTTTAATAATTTTATTAATTATTTGTAATTAAATTCAATTTATGACTCCTTTTTTAAGTATTTTTATAAGTTAATTGCTCCAATGCAAGTTAGTTTCATTGAAAAGTGTTCGATGGATGATAATAGATCTTGAATCATATGGCACGTTAATTATATACAATTACTCCATATTTATGGTATTATGACATTTTAGTCCATTTTACAATGTGTTTCTCATTATTTTGCATGTCTGCTTACGATTATGCATTCAACCAAAATAATACACATATATAGAGCATGTTCATGTATTAGCAAATAGTCATGTATATATACAATGTAGGAACATATATTGTATCATATTTGACATGTAAATGCATGTTCTTTTCATGCTCAACTCATCATCATACAGCAAAACATCATCATTTCCACATACATATATATCATCATTCATGCCGTGTTCATGGATATGGCTTATAAATACTCTAAGAAGCTTATTGGGTTAGATAAAGCTGTGGTTGAAAGACAAAAAACCCTATTTGAGGGAATGGATTAGCAACATGCAAGCACGTCGTTTTATTCATTTTTTCCTTCACATTAGTGTCGTTTTCATTTGATGAACACCTTCACCGAAAACATCCGCCTCCCCTGTATTTTGGTACTGAATTGAAATGATCAATGATTATTAGGGCGTTTTGGTACTTTGCAAGAGTATCTGCTATCTCGTTGCTATTTCTCGGGATGTTTTGTCAACACATTACGTGTCCATTTAATATATAGAGGGGGGGGGGGGCTTAAAACACAAATCACCCTTGAATTTGGTATATTTAGTGAAGCTGCCTCATGATTTTTTTCTTCTTAAATTGATCTCTGAACTTATTAAAATTTGTCAAAAATGGCCTTTGAGCTTAGTAAGTTTGGTCCGATTGGCCCCTAAACTTTTTTCAGTCAAATTGTCTCCTAAACTTATCAAGTTTCTTCAAATTCCCCATTAACTTTGAAAACATAACACAAAATGACCCTTATGATAAACACATTCATTTTGTGTCACGTTTTCAAAAATTCATGAAACAATCTAACCAAACTTGTCAAATTTAGAAGATCGATTTAACCAAACATATCAAATTTGAGAATCGATTTAACTGAAAAAGAATAATAAATTTAACCAAACTTATCAAGTTTAGAAATGATTTGTGTTTTATACATGTATAGAAGTGTGAAAGCTGGGCCCATCATTGAATATACCCAAACTGATGGGAAATCAAGCATGCTTTGATAACAATTCACAAACGACAAGAAGACAAATCACTTGATTTATTATGTTGAAATATGATTTTAAATCATTTGAAAACATACAATTAACATATGCATATAGAGAAACAAACGACATAAATGGATTTTTTTTACATAAAAAATTATGTTTGCCGACGAGGAAGAACATAAATAGTAACTTCGTTCATGAATCTTTAAACGATATGTGTAACGTTGTCCATTCAAAGCAAATGCCCCATGCTCTCCTTAAATGAAGCTTTGAAAACCCCATGTAAAACCATAATATAAATTCATATTATATAAAAACTCGAGATTTAAATCTATTTCTTCATGTCATCACATTTAAAATAATTATATATATATATGGATGGAGGGGCGGGTGGGAAGGTCCCCTAAAAATTTCAAATTCTTATACATTTTAAATATTTTATTTGTATTTTTATTAAAAATATGTTTTTCGACCTCCCTAAAATTTTATAAGTTCACCCGTATTTATAAATGTACCCCTCCTAACATAAAATCTTGCGTCCGTCCCTATATATATATATTTAATCATTATCTTCAATTTTTAGATTATGATATAATATATATATATATATATATATATATATATATATATATATAATTCAATTCTAAATATCTTGATTTTTTTAGGTTATCGTTTTTTATTAGGATATTTAAAATAATATCGAACCACTTAACATAGTATTTTCTTTCTTTTAAATGTCCATAGATACTATTATGAGATGATAATGAAATTGAGTATCCTCTTGTTATTTAAATCTTAAGTTTCGACCTTAGGAAGGATATGAAAACGATTTTAATGAGACATATTTTTAAAAGAAAATACAAACCAATTGTGAAATATGTATATCATCTAAACTTATACTCAATTCACAATAGTAACCGAATAATAGGTACATATTTGATGTCAAATTAATTGGAAAAAAAAAGAAGAAATGTGAGGAAAGTACAATAAAATCATAAAAAATAGTAAAGAAAATAATAAAATTTTGGTTTTATTTTGAAAAACGTCAATTATCTGTTGGTTTAGTCAAGATTTGGTTTTACATTTTTTAAAATAAAATTTAATTTTTTAAAAATTTTAGTATTATAAATAAAGAAAACTAAATTTAAAGAATTATTTTATAATATACATTTAAATTATGTAAATTTTATTAATTAAATAATGCATCAAATATCAATAATATTAGAAGAAATTTGAATTCAATCATTTATCAATTTATTGGGTATATATATATATATATATATGTTAATGTTATTATTAAAAGGGTGGCATCCTTGGAAACTTTGATAATGCCATGAAATATTATTTAATGAACATTTTGACTTTCTCTCATGCATCAAAGAGGGTATTTATTGGACGGGTGGATGATTTTAATACTTCCCAAGCCACGAGTTCGTTGGCAACAGAAAAAATAAAAAATAATAAAAATAATCGCTGGATTTAATATTGAAAAATTTTAATTAAAATAATAACGATATTTTTATAAATTTAACTAAGATATTTTAAAAATAATTTAAAATCTAAATCACAATTTAAGAATTTTACACATAAATAAGCCGTGTATAAATATATGAAAGTAGTGAGCTCGCTGCTCAATTAAGAGACAAAGAACAAATACAGCAAATGGGAATATTTCAAGAAGTCATCCCTTTTATTTGTTTGTTTATTTTGGGGTCCCAAATTATGTCCTTTTACTAATTAATAAGCTATAAATTGCAGCTGTTTGGATGCAAACTTCCACATTACGTTGTTGTAAGAAAATGTAAGTGTAAAATCAATATAGATATAGATATAGATATGGTTTTACTAATAAAAACTAAATTTAGAGAAAATTAAGATTTGTGATAAAT